CGCCCGTGGCCGCGACGAGAATGACAGGAGGCCTCCAAGCTTGCGCGGTAGTCCTTTACTTCCCTCGGCTCCGACGGACTGGCATCACGCTTCACAGCGGGTTTTGGCGTCCCACACTCACAGTGGGCGCGGCAAACGCTGAGCTGAGCCGCGGAAAATAAAAAGAAACAAGAAAATAATGGATTTGGCGGGGTTTTCATTTCATTTGCCATGCCGCACGAGACGGCCGTTCGTTTGTGTACAAATGTTGCCCGCAACGAGAAAAAGCAGTAAAACAAAAGAAATATTGCTTTTTCACGAGCCCACACAAAATCCTTCGGCCCGCGTGCGGCGCCCAGCCTGTTATTCCACTCCCCCTTTTGTGCGACCCGTGGGACGCACAGCGGCGAGGCCGGCACCGCATGTGGGCAAAAAACAAAAGCGAACAAGATGGGGAAAACGTCGCGCATCACACTGTAAAACCGCTGGCCATTGGAAAAAGCAAAAAAATCCCTAAAAAGCGGCAGGGTGTGGCTGTGTGTGTGTGTGGCGCTGCGGGTGTCTGCCCGCCCCGGCCGCAAAAGCGAAACAAAGCAAGAGGGGAAGAAATGCGCGCTCCGCCCCACAGGCCCGCGTCGCACGCCCACACGTCACGGCTCCCTCAGCGTGCCGTTCTTCGCCGCCCCTCCTCATGCGTGCAGCAGGCGAGGCGCACAGGGCCGTCGTCGTGAGCGTGTCGGTGGGCGTGCGAGTGGAGCAGTCGGGCGGGAAACACACGGCACCCCTCGCAGGAAGAGTGCAGAAGAAACAATTTAAATGGGGGAAGAGTAGAAAAGAAAAAAACGTCCATAGCGATTGCCCCCGGAAACAAAAAAAAAGGAAAGAGTGGAGCAAAAAAAAAAAAAAACTTTATTTTTTTAGAAGCAAAAATAAAAAACATAAGAAATTATACTCCGAACAGAAAAAAAAATTTTAAGCCGAAAAGAAAAACGTCCATGGTGATAGCCCTAAAGCAGCAAGGGAAAACTAGAAAAAATTAAAAGGAAACAAAAACAAATTATTCTCTGCGCAGTAAATTTATTCCTAGAGGTGTGTGTGTTTGCCTGTGCGGAGAGGGCGCAAGTGTTCCAGACTGAGGCCGCACACTCCTCACGCAGCCGCAAAACCCCACAGCCCCAGCAGAAGCAGCAGCGGCAGCAGTCCGCTCCCACGCATAGTGCCAGCAACGCTGTTATCCCACTGCGACGAATTTAAAAAGCTGCTGCTGAGTGTCGCCGCCTCTGCTTCCTTGACCTGTGGATGGAGCCCACCTTGCCCCTTGCCTTCAGAGTTATGTGTTGCTGCATTTGCTGCGTCGGGGTTGCCCACAGAGAATTGGGTTGGTTGATCTGCCCGCATCATACCCCCACCTTCCGTCCCCACCGTTTTTGCATCATCAGATGAGGAAGCACCAACATCAGTAATGGCGGCGCTTGAAGATGTGGCAGATGCCGGCTGGTCTGCAGTTCCCTCCCCAGCTGAGGACGTCGCGGCATTGGGCTCCGCTGGCTTGGGCCCTGCTGATTCCGACTCCGCTGGTGTGGATGGAGCGCCACTGCTCGCACCACTGCTCGCGCTCAAAGTTGCTTGGTCCGTCTGCTGTGGTGCGGCAGGAGTGGGCGCTGGAACAGTTGCCTTTGTCTCTGTGGTGACCGAAGTGGTCAAAGGTTCAACGGGCGGGGAAGTAACTGCCGCCGCTTTCGCCGGCTTCTTTTCCGTAAATGGAAGAGAAACTTTACTCGCGTTGAGGGCGCCAATCTCAGTTTCATTCAACGGGCGGTTGTACAGAAAGACGTTCGCCACCGTCGCATGAATTTTTCCGCTGCTCAACTGCTCATCGTACGCGCCAAAGTAAAAGTGTGAGACCGTGTCCAGTCCTTCATTGAACGAATTTCTCAGACTCCTATTCCAAAGGAGAGCCCCGTCAACGTACACGGAGCCCACACCGTCATGCATTTTGAGCACCACGTGATACGTTTTGTTCAGCTCCCATGCGGTAAAATGCTTCGGGAACAAGTCATTCACCACGCTCCACTCCATATTATTATCGTACGACAGTCCCAGGAGTGTTGTCGTCCCCATCTTCTTCAGGCCCATCAGGGGAGTGATGCCCGTCGGCACCTCGTGGATCGACACCGTTGCCGCAAGAGTGAACCCATAGTTTGCAAAGTGGAGCGGTCTGGTCGGCCACTGCTTGCCCACAGGCCACTCGGCCCCTGCGTCATGCCCTTCGAACGTCAACCCACTGGGAGCCTTTTTCGCCGCACCCCTCACAACGGCATTCACCCCAAGGTACTCGTCCTCCCACTTGTGCCCGCTGAACCTATCGGCCAAATGGCCCACAAGCCCAGCCGTGGGGAAAGGAACAGAACAGTCCCCTCTTGACAGCGCAGCGCCTGTGCTGCATCGTCTCGACAAGGCAATGTCATTCGCGGCCCAAGTAGACAGCGCATGCCTTATCCAGTAAAGCTCGGACGTCAGATCCAGGAAGAAGGCTCCAGAGTCGCTTCCACCACTGGCCTCGTACAAACAATACAGCTTATCATCCGCGCACAACAGGGAGCTGGAGGTCGCGCCATACCCAGTGGGTAGCAGGCCAACGTGGTAAATACGGTTGGTGTCCGTTAGCCACAGGTGAATCTCGTCCCTTTGGTTGTGCCTGGGATATTACAGCTGGGTGAGGAGGATCACCTTCTTTCCGCCAATCGTTGCAGTGATGAATCCACTCTGAATGTGGAGCCCAGAACCGGCCAATGGGTTGCTCCACACGCGCGAGAGCGTCCCCAGAGCCTCCTTCCACGTGTTCCCCTTGTCGGTCGACTCGTACACTCTCCTGTGGCCGTACTCACATGAGGCGATCATGATGATTTTACCAGCCTCCCACTCAAGGATACTGGGGTTGGTGCAGCCCGCATGTGTCGCGCTGTTCGCAAAGGTCCAGTGCGGTTGAACAGAATTCCAGTACATGATTGTGGACGCAGTGTCCCCTCCCCTTGTCAGAAACTGCACGGGAAACACGAGCGTGTTATCCGTCATTTTCGTGATGGGAGTACTGGCATCGTTGAGGAAGCCAATCATGTCACCGGGTTGATAGGGATAAGGAAGGTGAAAGCCCATAGAGACGGAATTCATCGACAAATCTCCGCTTTGTCCAGGCCCTGTCTCCAGAAAATAGATAACAGACTCCAACCCACTTCCCCCCCACCCATCGGTAAACCGAATTATGGCACCGTTCCGTAAGTCGTAGCCCTCCACAAAAGCAAAAAGCGATCCGAAGGATCCAAAAGACGACGGAAGCGACATCCGGTGAGGGCTTGCAGAAAAAGCGTCACGACCTTCGGGTCTCGGGTACGAACTCCAATTCACCCCACGATTCATGCTGAGCTGCGCCGTCAACTGCATGGACGCACTTCCGCTCCCCACAGTTCTATTGAACTGAGCTCCAGCAATGGCCAGGAGCATCCCGCTCACATTCACAAGATGGGGATTGCGGAAAATGTGGCCAGGGACCGGTGGGTTTGCGGCTCGATGCCCCCTTTGCAACTGCCTCGAACCTTGTCCTCCATAGGGATTTCCCACTCCCGTTCCAAAGCTTTGGGCCTGCACAGACCCCGCGGCGCCGCACATCATCACGACGAGGAGGAGTAGCGACACCGCAAAAGTAAACACACGCCGCGACATGTTGGGCCTCTGCGGCTCACTCTCTCCTCCTTCCCTCCTCCTTCCGCCGGATCCGGTCACGCGGCGACGGTTGTGTGTGCGGGGTGCCTTCACAGCAGCAACACGTGAGAGCATACAAATATGTGTGTGTGTGTGTGTGCTGTTGGAACTTTCAGAACCTTCGAATTTCACAGTAGCGATTCGCGTTTGTAGTAACTTCCTTCCTAGCTTGTATCTTTGTGTATGTGTGTGTGTGTGTGTGTGTGTGTGTGCGAGGAATTAAATTAAAAAACAAGCGCCCAAACAGGACGTGGGAGAAGAGTGGTTGGCGTCACGCATCCACAGTACAACACATCAGTGTCTTCGTAACCACTGCAGTCATTATTCTCACCTTCCAAGACGACTCAAGCACTGTGAGACCGCACACAGAAGCAGAAACGCTTAATTTCACGCACGGGGCAAGACGCTCTCCGGAAAACGGCACCAACCAACAGAAAGTAGGAGCGAACGGAATCCCAAGTGCTGCAAACAAAGAAAACAACAACAACTTCATTCTCCACGGCCGTGTACAGAAGGCGACAACGCGAGATATAAACATGGAGATGCACACACGTCTCTGATATTCGTAAATATGACCACCTGAGGTTCCAAGTGCTTCTGGCGGAGTCTTGTCCACTTTTGCCCCGCCGCACAACAACAAAGCCTCACCATCCCGCAAAGCAACGTCAGGCGTGGCAGAGACAACAGCCGCGGCTACTGAAAAGTGAGTGGGTGGAACCGTCGTCGCATTCACTGTTCCAGACACCGACAGGAGACAAAGAAGAACTCGCACCATCAGTCCGTGCCTTCTGCTTCCGTTGCCCACGCAAAGCAAGTGGAAAGCAAGAGTCATGCGAACAAAAACAACAACTTCACATACAACACCAACGAACTTGTCAGAAAATCGCTCCTTTTTTACTTTTTCTACATGTTGCCTGGATGCTCTTCCAGTCAGACTTTTAGCGTCCGTCAGGTTCCCCATCTGTTGTGTCATTTGGCAAGCCCGTTTCTCATACTTCGTGTTCGCAGTGAAAAATCAGACAGTCATGTGATCAACAGTCACTCCGTTCCTGTTGATGCCACTCGCTGATGCTCATGGCAACAGACACTTCTCCTGGGCTCATCATGCCTCTCTCAAGTCAGGAGGTCATTGGCAACACGGGAAAGCATGCGCCTCGCCACCCCCCCATCCCCCTCAAGCACAAATGCCGGTAGCCGCGCCGAGAAATCCGTGTTGACCCGGTCGTTTTGCTCTCTCCGTTACTTGCAATGTGCTTATTCATGATTAACGGACTGTCCACGCCGAGTTTGCGCCAGCAGGGTAGGGTCAGAAGGAGTCTCATGCACCGAGTCCCCCAGC